CCCCCAGTTGACCCAGGAGATCTCTTCTATTTCCCTTTTCCAGGGAAATCCATGCATCCCTCGCTGGGCCCTCTTTGTTATCTAGCCTCTCTGGGGCTGTGGATTGTAGGTTGCTTATGCTGTACTTTACTCCTAATATCCACTTATGAGTGAGTACATACCATGTTGTCTTTCTCGGTCTGGATTACCTCACTCAGAATGATTTTTTTCTAGTTCCATCCATTTGCCTGCAAATTTCATGATGTCATTGTTTTTTAAGAGCTGAGTAATACTCCATTGTGTAAATGCACCGCATTTTCCTTATCCATTCTTCAGTTGAGGGGCATCTAGGTTGTTTCCAGGTTCTGGCTATTACAAATAATGCTGCTAGGAACATAGTTGAGCAAGTGTCCTTGTAGGATTGAAGATCCTTTGGGTGCCCAAAAATGATATCATTAGGTCTTGAGGTAGATTGATTCCCAATTTTCTAAGAAGTCACCATACTGATTTCCAAAGTGGCTGTATGGGTTGGGTGGGCTGGGTGTGGAAGCAGGTTGGAGGAGGGACAGAGGTGGAGAGTAACAAAAGAGATGTCTTGATGGTGCCATTTGGGGGTTAAGGAGAAACCTGGTGCTAGGGAAACCCCCAGGAATCCACAAGGATGACTCAGCTAAGACTCCTAGCAATAGTGGAGAGGGTGCCTGAACTGGCCATCTACTGTAATCAGATTGGTGATGACCCTAATTGTCATCATAGAGCCTTCATCATCCAGTAACTAATGGAAGAAGATGCAGAGAGCCACAGTCAAGCACTGGGCCACTATCCGGGAGTCTTGCTGAAGAAAGGGAGGAGGGATTGTATGAGCCAGGGGTTCATGTTGGGGGAACCCACCGAGACAGCTGACATGAGCTCATGGGAGATCATGGACTCTGGACCAACAATTAGGGAGCCTGTATGGGACCAACCTAGGCCCTCTGCATGTGTGTGGCAATTGTGTAGCTTGGTCTCTTTGTAAGGCTTCTAACAATGAGATCAGGACCTGTCCCTGGTGCTTAGCAGGCTTTTGGGAATCTGTTCCCTATGCTGGATTACCTGGCCCAGCCTTGACGCAAGGAGAGTTGCTTGGTCCTGCTTCAACTTGATGTGCCAAGCTTTGTTCAAGCCCATGGGAGGCCTGCCCCTTTCCGAATGGAGACAGAGGAGGAGTAGATGGGGAGGGGGGTAGATGGGAAGCACGGGGGCGGGGGGACTTGGAGGAGAGGAGGGAGGAGAAGCTGTGGTCAGTATGTAAAATAAATGAAACAATGTTATTGAAATAAAAACTGAAAAAGAAAACAAGAAACCCGCGCTGCTGCCTTCACGAACTTGGCCAGCAGGGGGAGTGCAGTGGCTGTGCATTCTCCTTGCTGTGTCAAGTTTGTGTCTTCCTGCGTCTAGAGTGGCACTCAGTGTGGAAGTGTTTATACGCAGGATTAGTCTTCCCAAGTCTCTTGAAGTTAAGAGGCTCTTACCCACTAGTTTCAGGCAAACAGCCCAAGGACAATGGGTATGACCAAAATAGTTTCATTTTTCTTGCTTAGGGCCTGAAAGGATCCACTTCACTAGGTTGAGTTCCCTGGAAACCCAGAGTGTCCTATTCACACAGCTGGCTTTAGTGCTGTGGCTCCAGAAAGATCATTCCTGCTGCTCGAGCTTGTCAGAAAGCTTAGGGAAAGCTAGACCCATACAGACATGGGGGCACCACAGAGTTATCTGGGGACATTTTAAAAATTCCAGCTCCTGAACACCACTTTAGAGCTTCTAGATAGAGTGGTTTGGAAATACGTACTGTAACTAATTGAGATCCGGCAGTTAGCTTGAACCAGCGTTTGAGAACCACTAATCCAAAAGAATCCCAGATGCGATATTTCATCAGTCCTAATGCCCCTGCACAGCCCTTAGGGCCATACAGAGCCAAAGGACTTGGAATCAAAACAGGAGTTTAACCCTGGTGGTTGCACTGTATAAATCATGCTGACATCATAAAGAAACTTCAAAGTAGTTCAAGAACCTAAAGCCGGCCCTTCGCAAAGGAACAAGGACCCTTCCAGGAAGGTGATGAGGGATGACCAATGGAGGAAGGTATCTGTGAAGGAAGGCAGCAACTCTGTCCCCTGAGGTGTTTCAAGATAATAAACTCCACCTCTACTGGCATTTGCTAGTAAACATGGCAGAATTTAAGCCTTGCTTTCTAGAAAGCTGCCTTTCTGGACATGGGTGTACCCACCTCACCCCCAGTAGGCTTAAGTTCCTTTCCTGGGCTTATCCAGCTATTCTGGACTAAGGATCTTTTCTGCCCCAGCCCTGGGCAGTGGTGCTTAGATCAGCATATGACCCTGGACTTTCTGAGTAATTGAGGTGATGGTCCTTAACCTCACTGACCTTGGCCACAGTCTATCCCCATGTTGGATACAGGCCTCTGAGCAAACAAGTACAGTCTGACTCACAGTTGTAAAGTACTCAGTCATGGGAAAGCATACCAACCAGGGTTTCATTAGTTATCAAATCAACAGGCAACAGAACCCCAGCTCTTTTGGTAAGATGCAGAGGCAAGACATTGTGTAGGGACAACTGACAAGAAAACCACCTCTAACCGGGTAGTGGTGGCACACACCTTTAATCCCAGCACTTGGGAGGCAGAGCCAGGTGGATCTCTGTGAGTTCGAGGCCAGCCTGGGCTACAGAGCGAGATCCAGGAAAGGTGCAAAGCTACACAGAGAAACCCTGTCTAAAAGAGAGAGAGAGAGAGAGAGAGAGAGAGAGAGAGAGAGAGAGAGAGAGAGAGAAGGGTTTTATTTAGTCTAGCTGTTTGAGTTTTGAGTAGTGACAGATGTCTATTCTTGGTTGTCAACTTGACTATATCTGGAATAAACTATAATCCAGAAATGGAGGGCACACTTGTGATCTGGCTCTTGAGGCAGGAAGACAAAGTACTTTTGATTCGGATCTTGAGACAGATGACACAGGCCTTTAATCCAGATCTTCAAGTGGGAAGACACCTTTAATCTGGGCCACATCTTCTGCTGGAAGCCTAGATATGGAAGAAGGAAGAGATTGTTCACCTGCTTGCCCTCACCTTGTCAGCACATCCATTTCTTCACTGACATTGGAGCCTGCTTCTTCAGGTTTCCAGCATCTATAGCTAGCCATTGGTGGACTGCAGCCCGCATGTTCCAATAAAGTCCCTTATATACATATATACATACACGCATAGATACATACACACACACACACACACACACA